TGTTCATACTACGGCAGCAGAGAATTCTTCCTCGCGGCTGGCGGCTGCCAGGCAAACTCCACCATCCTCTGGGTCCCTGTGGTTAGGTTAAGAACCCAAACCCTTATTCAACATGCCGTACAAATAGGTATGATTTAGCTTGAAGAAGGAAGGACAGCAATGGCTTAAGCTAGCACAGCCACCAAAACTACTTGCAGGAGTTTGTTCCAACCGAGTGCCGGTCTTGCCCAGTTGTAAAACCAGCCCATTGCTTTACCATTAAAGCACTTTTTAGGCTGATGCAGAAAAAGTATCAGCTCAAGCCCATTCCCACTCCGTGCCAACGTGCCGTTATTCCCATGAGCTTGTTCAGCACAGGCAGAGACCTGTCAATGCGCTCACACTCGCACAGGCAAACCAGGAGGGCTCAATGGGCTGTTCCTACTACGGCAGCAGAGAATTCTTCCTCCCAGTTTGCGGCTGCCAGGCAAACTCCACCATCCTCTGGGTCCCTGTGCGGAAAGGTTAGGTTAAGAACCCAAACCCTTATTCAACATGCCGTACAAATAGGTATGATTTTAGCTTGAAAATAAAGCGTTCAGTAGCAATGGCCGCTTGTCATGTCTGACTCAAACACAGGTATTTTGCCAGCAGCTTGCAGATCTGTTCTCTATCACACTAATGCTTAGCCACTCAGCTATTTTATATATACTATATGTACAAGCATGCATACATATATGTTTTTTTTTTTTTCCTTTAGCTCATACTCCTTCACAGTCACATTAACACAGAAGCTTGCGGTCACCCTCTAAACAGGCCTACTGCAGAATTTAAGGAGCTGAGCCGTTGCAAAAAGCACCACCAGCTCAGGGGAATGCCAGAAGCCCCTCAGCTCACGGCACTGCCAGGTAGGGTCAGAGCACACCCGGAGAGTTCAGCCCCTTTGTGAAGTCCCGTACATACAGAATATATCTCTCTATATATATTCTTTATGTATTATATATATGATCTTATACATGTGTGTATTCTATAGTATACAGATAATAATAAGCTTTAAATTATATATGGCTGTAATATAAGATATATAATAAACATTTATACATATTGTGCATATATAGGGGCTTTGAAATGTTTTTCTATAATATATATTCTATATCAATGCAATAGATAACATTTTATACATTATATATAATTTATCCATATATTTCTATATATGTAATACATGTATATTTATAAATTAGATTTAAAGGTATTATATTTATTATTTAAAATCAGATTGTATACAAATAAATATAAACATAAAATGCCCCTGGGACTTTGCAAAATATCAAACACTATATATACTCTAGATATACTCTTACTATTATAAAAATATAATGTGCTATATAAAAAATATTTTTATATGTATAAATATCTATAAGTCCCAGGGACTTTCTTCTTTTTTATACACGTATAATATATTTTTATCCGTATCATTTAGCAATGTATTAATATTATGTATTATACAGTGCATTAATATATAACAATATAATATAGAACATCTATAAATAATGTCTATATTATATACCCTATATTATGGTAGTATGTCGTAAAAGACATGTAACACATAATATATTATTACTATTTACTGTGCATTCATATTTACGAGATGGGTATTGCCCGTGTCTGTACGACACTGCTGGCAGGCAGAGAGGAGTGGATGAGCGGCTCTGCCCAGCCCGGGCAGCCCTCAGCCTGCCGGAGGCCTGCCTGCAGAGCAGTCTGGGGGCCGCGCTCGTCCCCGGGCAGACACACGGCTGCCAAGGCGAGGAGCACGACCCCCGCCACCGCCTTCCCGGGTTAGCTCCGTAATGAGCACTTCGGTACCAGACAAATACTGACCAACCTGGGGAGGCAGTTGTTAAGCAATGAGAGTGGGGAGCCAAAAAAAGGAATTCAGCATCTTAGGAGAGCGAGCGAAATGCCTGGCACCTGGCGTGGGGGCAGCGGAGGAGGTGCCAAGGGTGGGGAGAGGCGTTCAGCCCATGTGCCAGTGCAAAGTGAGGAGCGATGGGATGAAGCCAAGAAGAGAAATCGTTAGACCATCGCTGTATTTGGTTCTAAAACAGGAGAAGTAGGGAAAAGGGCTTCTGTTTAGTCTAAGTAACCCAAAAAAAAGCCGCCCAGAGAAGCAGGTGTCACCTCCCAGCACTTACACGCGGGTAACACGACCAAGGCTGAAGGCACTGGAGGCACGTCCTCTCAGAGACACCTGCGCTGTGGGAGCGGTGCAGCCATGCCCGCCCAGCCCCGAGCAGCACCGCTCCTCAAGGCACACGGCCAGGGTACTTCAGGGGTAAGCCTGGCATTTCCACTTCTACCCCACAGCTGCTCTCCAGTCTCTCTCCAGAGCAAACCTATATTAAGTCAGCCAGTACTCATTATAGCCTAACTTTTGCTGGCCTTGTGCATGGCTTGGGAAGTGGGTATAGATTTGTTCATGTATAGATGCTAAACAATAGGCTCTGGTTTTATTCATCCCAGAACACAAAACGGAGCCACGTGGGTAACGCTCTCCACGTAACGCTGGGCAGGTGCAGCCAGGAACAGGGGGCAGGCAGCTCTGCAAGGATTAATATCGGGCAGTAATGATGTCACCCACAGGATTATGATTAGTGGAGCTGTAAAGCCAAAGTAGACTCTGAAGAAACTGTTTGGCTATTTTTATATAGCCATCTCCTTGA